GCCTTTCCAGAGCATTCCTGACTAGCCTGAGCTCCTCCCTGTTATTCTCCATGACAGTCCTTGCTGATTCTCTTCACAGCACCCCTTGCACTGCATGTTTTATTTCTTTTTTTTTTTTTTAAAGATTGGCACCTGAGCTAACAACTGTTGCCAATCTTTTTTTTTTCTGTTTTATCTCCCCAACCCCCCCCACCCCCACATAGTTGTATATCACTAGTTGCAGGTCCTTCTAGTTGTGGGTTGTGGGATGCCGCCTCAATGTGGCCTGACGAGCAGTGCCACGTCCGCACCCAGGATCCGATCCCTGAGCCACTGCAGCGGAGCGCGAGAACTTAACCACTCAGCCACGGAGCCGACCCCGTATGTTTTATTTCATTACTGACACGTTCATTGATTATCAGTCCCCCCAACCCCGCCCCACCTGGCGGGTAAAGCTCTTTGAGGGCGGGGATCATGTCTTATTCTCCAATGAGCTCCTAGTCTCTAGCACAGTGCCTGGTACATAATAAGTGCTCAAGAATTGTTTGTTGACTGACTGACTGAAGAAATGAACAAACAAACATATGTAAAATTTTAAGAACCTAAAGACTCAAGTGATGGTAAATGGTTGAAACATTCTGGCATATAAAATTAAAGAGCCCTAACAATTGATCGTGACCGCATCAGACCAGCCCCTTTGAAAATGCTGTTTGCTTTCTCTGGATGCAATGTCTCTCTCCAACTACCCATGTAGGAAATTCCCGTTTGCCTCTCACAGGTTTAACTTTGTTCTGTTTACTCTTTGAAGACTTTTCTAACTTCTTAGCCAGCATGAATACATTAAAGAGAGGTTTCTGGCATCATAGGGAATCTCCCCACGACCTCCTGGTCTAATCACACAGAAATATATCAAATATATCAACAACCACTGGGATAAATATATCAATAAGTTATTTTAAACATACAGCTGAAGTTGAAACAAGAAAGGGAAATCCACAGGAGCTAGAAGCAGGGAGGGAACCCATTCTGGAGCAGTAAGATCCTGAGTTATTTCCACAACCTCCAGGGTTTACCAGACTGGACAGAGCAGTGCCTGCTAATGGCAGCCCTGGGATTTAAGGTAGGCTCTGAGGGCGGGGGTTTTAATGTCCAGCGGGGTTAGGAGACCTGGGATTGTGCAAGACTGGGAGTAGATATGGCACAGCTGAAAAGAGCTAATGAACCAAAACCGATTCTAGGAAAATAGTCAGAATGCAGCCCAGAGAGAAAGAGACATGGAAAATAAAAAGAGAGACTAAGAGACATGGGAAATGGAATAAGAAGGTCCATCATATATCTAACACGAGTTCCAGAAGAAAAGACCAGTGAGAACAGGGTGGAGTCAACATTCAAAGAATAATAGCTGAGAACGTTCTAAAATCCATGAAAGAGACTAATCCTCAGAGTGAGACAGTATGGGTCGGGAAGGTTAAATAAACAGACATCTTTACCAAGACACATTGTAGGGAAACTGTAAAATAACCAAAATAAAGAGGAAATCTTAAAGGCAACCAGAAAAAGAAAAAAAATCACCTATGAAGTATTGGCAATTAGACAGCAGACTCTCAACAGCAATGGTAGAAGCCAGAAGACCATGAAGAACGTCTTCAAGGTGCTAAGAGAAGATAAATCTCAAACAAGAATCCTATTCCCTGTGAAATCTTCATTAAAGAACGAGGGGGAAATGGACATTTTTGAAAACAAAGACTGAGCTTACCACTCACAGGGCCTTACTAAAAGACCATCAAAGGATGCACTTCAGGAGACTGACCTCAGAAGGAACGAGTGGCATTAAGAAGCAGCCTGAGCAAACAGCCTGGTAAACAAGGGAAAAGCTAAACAAGCACGGACCGTTTTAAAAAAATAATAATAATAATGACAAATTCAGGTCCTGTCAAAACAAGGCCGGAACAAACCCTAACCAGTGGTAACACGGTAAGTTGAAGGTGCCTGTTTTATTCAGGACAGTAGAACATTGATAAATAATTTAGAACACATGTTCAAAATTTAAGGGTAACCTCTATAAGAATAGAAATAGAATGTTTAAGTCTCAAGGCAGTGGAGGGAAAAAGAGTGATGAGGAAAACGCTGACAGGACCAAACACAATAGAGAAAGAAAAAAGAAAGAGTGGGGGAAATCAGAGAGTAAAAAATACAGTGGCAGGTGGGGCTGGCCCCGTGGCCGAGTAAGTTCGCGTGCTCCGCTGCAGGTGGCCCAGACATGGCACTGCTCATCAAATCACGCTGAGGCAGCATCCCACATGCCACAACTAGAAGGACCCACAACGAAGAATATACAACTATGTACCGGGGGCTTTGGGGAGAAAAAGGAAAAAATTAAATCTTTAAAAAAAAATAAAATACAGTGGCAGGGGCAGAGAAATCCAAACATTATCCATCACAATGAACGGAAAAAGACTACAGTTGACCGTTACAGAGGCAAAGATTTTTAAAATATAGATGTATGCTATTTTACGAGAAACACACCTAAACATGACAACAAAAGAGTGAAAATGAAAGGTTGGGTAAAGATAGACCTGACAAATACTAATCAAATGAAAACTGGTGAGTGTTTTACTACTAGACACGACAGACCATGGACACGAGAGGGGAAGGGGGAGCGGTAATTACAGGGGAGCACTGACCAGGAAGATGCGACAACCCTTCACTCACAGGGTGCGCCCCTGGAGCCATATGTAATTTATGATTCACAGTCCTAGCACTTGGGCGTTCATCTCACTGCTGCCTGTTGTGCCCTGTTCCACTGGGAATTCTGGGCAAATGCAACAAACGGCACGACTCAGATCCCCCTGGGTCCCTGGCCAGAACAGGGTGTACACCAGCATGACCCTGGCCCCCTTAGCCTCCTAATTTGCTCACTCTATGCGCCCACCATAGTCTTCATAGCCACCGTCACTCTGGTAAGCCACTCTGGCTTGGGACCATTTGTTATTTATTTCTGCATTCTTAGCACTTCCCACAATGTCTGGCAGAGAAAAGCACTCAATATGCATCCATTAAAATTATAATTTTGAAGACTATGAAGCCAATATGAAGAATGTCTATAATATGCATTCCTATTTAAAAAGCACAATATAAAACTGTAGATGCACTTTGATTGCAAACATTTAAAAATTATAAATGTATACGGATACAAAGTGGAAGACAATGTGGAAAAATGAAAACAGTAAATTTGTTATGCAAGGTGGATGGTGACTTTTTGGTTTTGATGTTTATTATTGCTCCTATTACTTGCATAATTTTGAAAATGAATTAAAAAAGAATTGGTTATATAACTTTTAGCTGTCCAAGAAAGTAATTTCTAAAAAACTTCATCATCTATAGGCAGGACAACGGAGCTGTTTTCTAAGCCATGGAAATATTTACTCCTAGGGCCAAATTTCGCTTTTCACTCTAGAAGCCGTGGTGGTAGTTACAGTGATTCTCTCTGGACAGAGACAGAGACGAGAAGGAAAGAGGAGTGCGAGGGAAAATGGATCCAGCTTAATCCTGTCTTCCTTCTCCTTCTCTCGTGCCTTTCCCTTCTAGGCAAGCCCGAGGAGTCCCCCAGTTGTCCAGGTTTCACAAGACAATCTTTCTACTAGCCTCAACCCTACTCCCTCTGAGAAAAGGGTCTCTGAGTTATCTGGACAGGAAACCAGGTAAATCAAAGACAGTATTCCTTGCCCAGAGCTCAGTCTATAGATACCATTTCCAACTGAAAGGAAACAGGGATCCTTGGAGAAATGGCTGACTCCACGTTGGGGGCACGAGATATAGCAGAAGAGCCTGGAGCTTTTTGTCACCCCAGAAAGCAAGAGAGTTACTAGAGACTATTAGGGTCACAACAACAGGACTCAGGAGCCAAGACAAAAAGGCTCCCCCTGGTCAAGAGGGAGCAAATTCAGCATCAATGAGAGTAATAACCATAATGAATTGAAACACGTCAAATACGTTTACATTCATGAGTTCATGATAATATTTTTTAAGGAAAATCACTCATTGCTCACTTTTGGAGGATGCTAGGGAACCCTGAAAGTACCAAGTGAAGGCAAAGAACCAAGGACAGCTTGCCCTCTCTGTACTAACTGTCTCATTGTTACCAAATAGTTGGAGAGGGCAGTTTTCATTGCAGAAGTACTCAAACCAAAAATGAGCCGTGGACGTCAGCACTTTCCAAGCCCTAGCGAATTAATGGATATAGGTGTGGTCAACAATGGCTACTAACAGCACTAAAAGGGAGACAACTAGTCCATATTTCTATGCTTGTCACCACCTATGAAGTATTCTTGCCAAAAAACTGCACATGAGTTTGGATGTCTACCACTTCAGGGGGAGGGGGCTGAGGGACATGGGAGAACACATGGAATGTCGCTGTGGGCTGCAATCAGTCAGACAGAGATTGTAAGAAACTCCAGATAACGAACAATCGAACTTCTACAGACACATCATAACAGAAAAATTAACAAATAGAGAGGGACCCGATTGATTCAAAAAGAATTGCAGCAAATCAGTCAGTTGCAATGTACAGGTCTTTCTTGGATTCCAAATCAAATAAATTGTAAAAGAAAATATGAGACAATGTTAAATTTGATCCCTGACCGGATAGTATTATTAATGATAATTCTACTAGGTGCAAAAGTGGTATTTTCACCATGTTTTGAAAAAGAGGTCTTATCTTTCAGAGAGACATAGTGAGAACTTTTCAGTGGAATATGATGTCTGGTATTTGTCTCAAAAATATCTGGAGCTGAGGAAAAACGGGCAGGAGCAGAAATGAAATGATTGACCGTGAGCGGAACGTTGAAGCTGGGTGGTGGGCACATTAGTCGATTCGTTACATTATTCTCTTTACCTCTGCATGTGTTTGAAATTTTCAATAAAAAAGTCTAAAACATTAATAAAAAATAAATGAAGCTGTTCCTTCTTCTCCTGGTTGATGTTTGGGGAAAAAGATGTCAGGGAAACAATGGGACGCTTACCTTTTCATTAACTGGATAAAAATTCTCCTGGGTAATTGGTACACAAAGGTGTCGAGGACGACCTTCAGGTAATTCAAAGAGACGTGGCCGGCTTTGGAGGGGTCACCTGCACTCAGGGCCTTCTCCACCTTTTCGTAAGACTTGGAAAGCTGCAAAATTAACACGAGGGGCTGCATTCAGAGAAAGCAACTTCACGGAGCTATGCAACCTTTCTTTTTTTTCTCTACCGAAACCTTGTCACATTTTCCTCTCCAAAAACTGATCAAAAAGGTTACTATGGCATGTACTGAACTTCAAATGTTTAATTGATGAGCTCACTATGAAACAGCATCCCCAGTCACAGCGACTCAGTTGACAAGGCAGACAAGTTTCTCAGGGGAAACCAGCACCTATAATAGCTCTACCTCAAATTTTGGAGCTAAAAATACTCGGTGGGTCTGCCAGTTTGATGCATCTTTCTTAATATACTTTCAAGCTGCTCCTACGGTGAGCCCACGCCACGCTTCCCCTGATGAAGTCAGGCCAATCAAACAACAACGCTGGCAACACTTTATTAAAAATAGAAGCAGCTTTAACAGTAAGCCAAATTATTAATATAAGGATTGCATAAACACAGCACACTTTGAGCATTTCTTTAATTATTCTTTTTTTTAAAGGGGGAATGACAAAGAACCAGGGTGAATGAGCTTTGCTTCTGGGACTTCTAAAATTCGGTAAAGCAAGTTAACCACGGATTTTTATGACTCATAAAAATACCATGAAGATTGGTTTTGCTTCCAAAGGCTTTCCCGCTGTTTATTATTGAGTAATAATATTCTCCAATATTTCCAATACTCTCCACTTTGTCTGAATTCAGTTTTTCCTGCTAACTGGGATAAGAAGATAAACAAAATCACCACCAACTTGGTGGAAAGGGTGACTTTTTAAAAAAGCTGCTGGGACGTGGAAATATATGTACAAGAGTCTCTATCCACTAAGGGAATAAGAAACAGATTCATTAACATTTCCTTTCCTTAGAGTGCACAGGAATATTGGAAATCTAAGGGGAAAATCTCTAAAAATATTTAGAGAATCACAGGGCCTAAGCTTCTTAGAAAGTTGCATAAAATTAACCCAAAATGCAGCTGACTCTGCCCATCTCTCTTTCAGGGAAGCAGGTTGGCTGGGGGAAGATTCTCACAGAAAGAAGCCAGGCCAGACGTGGAGGACGGTTTCAGTGTACTTACTAGATTAATGACATCCACTTTTAATATCTTAATGACATTTGGTCTCCGATAAGGTTTTTTCCAGGGGAGTGTCTCTGACTGTTCAAGAGCTTTTAGAAAAAGAGCAGGGAGTGAAACAGAAACAGTGCCTTTGCAAAAAAAAAAAAATATATATATAATCACCTGCAAAGTTTTCATGCCATAAAAAGGGATTAAACAAGAAAATGAATTCATTAAAAGAAAAGCTTGAAGACAAGATGATAAAACAATCTAAGAGATGAGAAGGGGTATTTCAAGGCTAAGAAAATAGAAAACAAAAATAACAATTACAGGACCTAATAAACAAACTAGCATGGCAAGAGAAAGAGACAAGGCTGAAAGTAACATTAACAGTAAAGGAGCGGCTTGAAAGAACCTCAGTGAAGGCAGAGGAGAAAGGATTAAAGCAATGTGAGAGCAGACGAAAGATGAACCAATATAGGGACACCTGGGAATACTGCTGAAGGAAGGAAAGACAGAAAGGAGGAGGGTGGGGAGGAGAGAGGGATGGAGAGAGGCAGAAGATTTTAGTGACACGATACAGGGGAAATTTTCCTGAAGTGAATGAAGAACTGAATCTGGACACTGAAGAGCACACGGTGTCCCAGGAAACTGTGACATACTGCTCCGTGCCAAGACAGTTTAGTTTTGCTTTTTAATTTCAAAGATACAGAAAAAATACTTGAGGCATCCAGGTTAAAAAAAAAAAATCACCTACAAGGGAAAAAAAAAATCAGTTGACCTCAGGCTTCCTCTCAAAAAAACCCAATGCCAGAAGACAATGGAAAAATACTTATAACATTTTGAGGAAAAGAAAGTACGTTTAGGCTATCTTTTAAGAATTATACCCAGCCAAGGCCTTGTTCTGGTAAAAAGGCAGATAGTCTCAAAAATGGGAAACAAAGGGAATAAAGCACCCATGAGCTTTTCTTAAGGAAATTACTTGACAATGAAATCCATCCAACCAAAGAATAAATCAAAATAAAAAACTCTGAAAGGGATAAACCATGGTAAGCATTGAATATAGTGATGCGCATTAAATCCATGTAAATATAAAACGAAGGCAAACAACTAGGGGAATTAGGGTAACAGCACAGAATGTAAATATCCCAAACGCTGACTAAAAACAAAATATGAACAGTGAAAATTGTGAGGTGGGAAGAGACCCAGGAAGAGCCAGTCACGAGTTTCATAGCAGAGAGTCAGCCCGCACTGCCTGTAACTGAGACTTCCTTCAGAAATACCATAATTTCTCCTACTCTTGATGGTTTTCTTAACTCTCTTCTGTTCTCAAAGTCCCTTTGTGGACCTAATATCTCTTGTGGTATAGAAATATTCATCCAAAGTTCAGAAGCATCTTCGGCTTCACTTGAGGACAGCATTGTGAGCAAGGACGCAGGGTTTAAACTTGGCTCCAGGATTGACTGGCATGGTGGCCTTGGGCAAGTCATCAAACCTCTTCGTGCCTCAGTTTCCTCAACTTGAAACTGGGATATTCATAGTGCCTAACTCATGGAGCTGCTGTGAAGACTGGAAAGGGGGTCACTTACAGCGCTGCCTGGCACACAGGCACCCAAAGAGGGTTCATTATGAGGGTGAGGATGACATTTCTTTACTTCCAGTAAATTCAACGACATTTAAATTAAATATGCCTGATTTGTAAAAAGGAGCATGATTCTCTTCTTAGAACATTATTTCTATCTATGTACCCACCCACCCCCCACCAATGCAGCCATCCTTCTATACATATGACTAAAGACAGGCCCGGAATTATGTTCACCAAATGTTGCCTGTGATTATTTCTGGGTGGTGGATTTTGAATAATGTACTACTTTCTTCTTTGTACTTTTCAGAGTTGCTTACATTTCTTGTAATGATCATGTATTATGTAAGGGTCATGTTTTTATGAAAACAATAAATTCATTAACAACAACAAAAGAAAACGAGTTTTACCAATTTACTAACAGTATATTCAAGTGCTCACTTCTCCAATACTCTTAGCAACATTGACTTTTGTTAATTTTTTTCTCACCGACAATTTTCTACTGAAAATTTTATATTAATAGTTTATAAAATTTCTACTTATGTTAGGAAGGGCTATTATTTATCTGTCGTTTACGTTGACATATTTTGCCAAGTTTACCACTTGTTTATACAAACTTTTGCTATACAAAAGCTTTTTCATTGTAACATGGTCAAATTTATCAACGTGGTCAAATTTATCAATCTTTTTCTTTATGGTTTTGGGGCTTTACTTCATGCTTAAAAAAAAGTCTAAATTTCAAGATTAAAAAATTCTCACCCATATTTTTAAATTTAAATAGTTGAGGCATACAGAATTTATTTTGGTGTGAAGAGTGGAAGGTTATAGGCTTTTTTTCTCTAAATGGCTGGCTAGTGAATTATCCCAATAATAATCATCGAATACTCCACTCCTTGTCCCCACTACACTTTATTGGAGCGCCTCCCAGCATATGCTGAATTCACATATAAATATTAGTTCATTATCCAACTACTGTTTTAAGTCAATTTGAACGTCCATTGCCGCATCAGTGCTATATTGTTTTAATTATTATATCTTTATAAAATACATTTTGTATGATAGAATAAGCCCTCTATTATAACTTTTCAAAAGAAAAAAAATATATATATACATATATATACACACATTCTCCATCCAGACATAGCCAGAGCAGGCGTTAATACTTAATCCTCCAATCCAAGAACTAAAAAAGATCACTTCATTTACTTGAGTGCTCCTTTATTTTACTCAATAAAGTTGTATCTTGTCTTTGTAGGTCTTAAAGATTTCTTATTAGTGTAGTATGTGAGTAGCACAAAGGAGTTACTTAAGAATCAGCCACTCAGCACATTACTGTTATCCACGTACGATTGTTATGAGGGGAAGGAGGAGGTCTCAGGGCGTGGGCGGGCGGAGGTAGGATCAAAGCAAATTTTGGAAATAATGCCCAGACCTAACGGTTTTCCACAGTTGTCCATTTTCTCTGGTCACACCTTAGACGGCCCTGGCACTAGGAAAACACTCTCACCTCTTGGCAAAAGGCTCTCTCAATCTCATCCAAGGAGTAGTCCCTCCAGACCTCTTCAGAGGAAATGGAACTGGGGAGGCGCTCCCTTCTGGAACTTTTGATTTGCTGATTCTCCCGCGAGACCTCTATTAAAACCAAAGAGCTTTAGGTTATTAACATTGTCAAAGGTACACTTAAATATTAAGTGTTTCCTTTTCATCATAACCTGTCTGATAAAAGGTAAGACTTGAGTAAACCAAAAACTTGATGCAGTTTGTAATAAATGATGTTGAAATAATTGGGTAAACATTTTAGAAAAAAGTAAAATCAATCTACTTGCTACCTTATTCTAAAGTAAAAGGTACACTAAGTAGACTAATAAAGCCATAAATGTAGTAGAAGAAAATTAAGATGACTATTACATAATATATAGACTTTGTGTGAGAAGTCCTTTCCCAGAAACACACTGGAGCCAGAAATCATTTAAATAATGGACAGGTCTGAGAATATGAATATTTAATTTTTTTGGTTAAAAAAAGCACACAAATAACAATGAAAGAAAAATGAGTGGGAAAAACTATTGTTAATATACATGAGAAATACAGGTTAATTTCCACAACATGAGAGTAGCTCTTATGAATCAACAAGATAAACGTAAATACTCAACAGAACAATAGACTAAGGCTATAACAGGTAATTGACATAAAAAGAACTAAAAAAAATCCAAAATGTGTAGGAAAAACTGCTCAAACTCATTGGTAATTTAAAAAGTCTAACTGAATGAAAAACCTGGAAATAAATTTAACCAAGGAGGTGAAAGACCCGTATATTGAAAACTGCAAGACGCTAATGAAAGAAATTGAAGAAGACACAAACAAATGGAAAGATATTCCACGAACATGGATTGGAAGAATTAACAATGTTAAAATGTCCATGCCAACCAAAGCAATATACAGACTCAATGCAATTCCAACCAAAATTCCAATGGCATTTTCTCATAGAAATAGAACAGACAACCCTAAAACTTGTATGGAACCATAAAAGACCCCATATTGCCAAAGCAATCTTGAAAAAGAACAAAGCTAGAGGCATCACACTCCCTGATTTCAAACTGTATTACAAAGCTATAGTAACTAAAACAGTATGGTATTGGCATAAAAACAGACACACTGATTAAAGAACAGAAAAGAGAGCCCAGAAATAAACCCATGAATAAGGAGCCAAGAATATACTACGGGGAAAGGACAGTCTTTTCAATAAATGGTGTTGGGAAAATAGGGCAGCCACACGCAAAAGCATGAAACTGAACCATTATCTTACACTGTACACAAAAATTAACTCTAAAATGGATTAAAAACTTGAAAATAAGACCTGAAACCATAAAACCCCTAGAAGAAAACATGGGCAATCAGCTCCTTTACTTAGCTCTTGGCAATGATTTTTTGAATCTGACATCAAAAGCAAAAGCAACAAAAGCAAAAATAAACAAGCGGGACTACGTCAAAGTAAAAAACTTCTGCACAGCAAAGGAGGCTGTCAACAGAATGAAAAGGCAACCTATGGAATGGGAGAAATATTTGCAAATCATATATCCGATAAGGGGCTAATATCCAAGATATATAAAGAATTTATACAACTCAATAACAAAAAAACCAAACAATCTGATTTAAAAATGGGCAGAAGATCTGAATAGATACTTTTCCAAAGAAGACACACAGATGACCAACAGGTCCATGAAAAGATGCTCCACATCACTAATCATCAGGGAAATGCAAATCAAAACCACAATGAGATATCACCTCACACCTGCTAGAACGGCTATTATCAAAAAGAATAGAAATAAGTGTTGGTGAGGGTGTGGAGAAAAGGGAACCCTTGTGCACTGTGGGTGGGAATGCAAATTGGTACAGGCACTATGGAAAACAGTATGGAGGTTCCTCAGAAAAATTAAAAATAGAATTACCATCTGACCCAGCAATTTCACTTTTGGGTATTTATCCAAAGAAAACAAAAACACTAACTTGAAAAGATATATGCACCCCATGTTCATTGTAGCACTATTTACAATGGCCAAGGTATGGAAACAACCTAAGCGTCCATCAATGGACTAATGGATATAGAAATTATGGTGTGTATACGCACGCGCGTGCGCACACACACACACACACACACACAAAATGGAATATTATTCAACCATAAAAAAGAATGAAATCTTGCTATTTGCGAAAACACGGCTGGACCTTGAGGGCATTATGGTAAGCGAAATAAGTCAGACAGAGAGAGTCAAGTACTGTACTATCTCTTTTACAAGTGGAATCTAAAAATAAAGAAATAAATAACCAGGCTCACAGATACAGAGAATAGACTGGTGGTTGGCAGAGGTTGGGGGTGGGGGTGGGAGAAATGGGTGAACTACTTTTGGGTTTTTTTAGTTTAAATAAATTGAGTAAAAATAATAAAACAAAATAAAAATTCTAATTAAAACAAGTTAACATCTTTTCTACTTCTCAAATAGGCAAGGATTAAAAGGAATGACAAAGAAAGAAATCAATTCTAGCTTGTGTATAGAAAACCTGGCACCTGAGTACTCTTAAATACCCTTCTAGAATGTTATACTAATGGAATAATGGGACCACTCAACAAACGCACATGGGTAAGGGTACTTTCTGCACTGTTTATAAGAGAAAAAGTTGAAATAATTTAAATGCTCATTATTAGAGATTGGTTTTATAAATTATGGTTCATCGAGCCTATGAAATTCTATACAGACATTAAAAACAAAGATGCCTGCCTAAATTAAGGGATGTGGAAAATTTTCCTTGAAATATACTGTTTCGTGACTGAAAGAAAGGATGACTAGCATAACATAATTTTCATTTTAACACTTATTTGTGTACTTGCCTGTCTACCCATCCATCCGTCTATCCATCTATCTATGCATCAGAAGAAAATCTGGGAGGCTAACACAAAAAGAATACAGCTGTAGATTCAGGTAGCATTACAGGGAATTGTTATTTTTGTTTTTGTGTTTTCTGGCTTTTTTGCAACAAGCATGTATTACTTATATAATAAAAGAGAATAAAATAAATCTAAAATATAGCCATTTTCTTTCTCAGAGTTGACTGCAAAGAATCACAAATGGTTTCCCAGATTTATTTCCTAAAATGTCTGCAAATAAGCTTCACTCAAATTAAGCACACTTATAACGACTCAGCCGCAGTTAACAAACTGCCAGTCATCTGGAATTCCATTTCCATCTCACAAAACAAAAAGAACGAAAGGGAAAAAAGCATAAGAGCCTGCCCAGTGGACCCCCCGGGCTCCATAACAAGATACAAAGCCAGTCCCTAGGATGCCGTCTGCAGCCTCAGTGGGCCGAGCACTGGAAACACGGGATCTCAGAATGCAGGAGCCTCAGTGCCTCCGTGAAGACGAGGAGGCCAAGCCGCGGGGCCAGGGGCTGACCTGGTTGGGCACACGGAGGTGTCAGCCCCAGCTTTCCATACTGAGTCCTGAGCCCACTCCGCCCGGGGGCACTGGTTCCGTTGTGGCGATTTGAGGAGCACACACAGCACATCTAGGGAAACCCATTCACACTCCGTAAACAACAGCCAGGACTGGGGGGAGGGGGGTTAAGGCGTGAGGCCTGCCCTCGGGGAGCTCACGGTCCAGGAGCCTGTGCAGCTATAGGGGCTACAACAGGCTGGCTGACAAACTCAATTCACACCCAATGACTCCTCTCATCACAGTTACACCAGGGTCATGCTCCGTGCAGCTTAATAATTCCTACCACCTTCCGATTTCCCCAAAATCTCCCCTGAAGGATGCTTGCTGATTTGAAACCGGGTAGAGAGGAATCCAAAGCTTATGGGGGCACTCATGTGTGTCTCAAGTGCGGCAAGGGGAAATCACCCCCGATTTCAGTTCTTCATGAGCCCAAACAGACGGTGCTTCTGACAAGCAAGGTGATGATGGCTCATTAGGACACAGACGCAGCAAAACAGAAATATGCACCAGTAATCGAGAATAAATCTTGTCCTATATATAGAAAAGTCATAGATAATGGGCCTCTGCAAATATGCAAACTAGAGACTCCCTCACAGAGGTAAGAACAGCGTCAAACCTACAAAGAGCTCTCGGTAATTAGTCCTCTTATGACACACCTTCCCAAAAAATAAACACACATTAGCAAATTTTATCCATCGTTCATAATTCATAGATAACAGAAAAGCAGGACTTCATATGAGAAGTAGAAATGGATAAGAAGAGGTATGTGGAATCATGTGCTTACTTACGAAAGTGAAATTTTTGGAACAAATGCAAATAGGTGACATATATTTTAAAATTATTGCTCACTTGAGAATATCTTCCAAAAATGCTCAAACCATCATATAGAAAATAATTATTATTAAAACAGTAGTAAAAAACCTCAGTGTAAAAAAATTGGAAGCAGTATAGAATTTACTCATGTGTCCACGGGCTTCCAGGCTGGAGCGCCAAGGAAAGCACTTCTCAGTGGGAGGTCCCAGGTGGGTAAACTTCGGAAACTCTGAGACAGTACAAAGCGAGGAGGACAGACTCTGGAAAGAGACTGCCTGCGTGCAGTTACTGACTCTGCCCCTTACGAGCTACGCGACCTGTGCCTTTGTTTCCCCACTGGCAAAGAGAGATGGAAACAGCATCTGGGCCACAGAGGTGTTATGAGGACGAGATGATGAATGAGGGTGCCCGGCACTCAGCAGACACTCAAGATATATTAGCTGTATATTGATTGATAAGGAAAGTTTTAAATGATAGGAGACATGGAAGAACAATATCAATCAGAGATAGAAAAGCTCAGAAATTAGATGATAAAACTCAGGAGCAGATTAGAAATAAAATTTCAGAAACGAAGACTAAACTAAAAGGAACACAAGAGCAAACAAACACAACAGTAATAGAAGGTGAAAAAGAAAAACTTATATCAGGTAAGCAAAAAAGGGAAGAAAGGAGGAAGGAAAGAAGACTTGTGAGAAAGTTGCAGTCTAGAAGAGAAGATAGGAAAAAAGTCTGAGATACACATACTATGAATCCTGAGAAGAAAACCAAACAATAGAACGGAACAGATACTAAAAACTGCAATTCATGCAGTTTTCCTGAAATAAGA